AGGAAAGTTAAAACCGAAACCAGGCAGTCAGAGCCCAAGACCGGAAGAGGGAGCAGATGTCATGAAGTTGTTAGTAGATATGCTGAAGCTGGTAATGGAGCAACTCGGTGGTATTAACCAGCAATTGGCCACACTAAACCAAAACTTCGCTCTGCAGCAGCGCCAGCTGGCAGAAACGGAGAAGAAAGTGGAGCATGCAACTGTGAAAATTAGAGATGGATATCGCAAATAAGAAGATGAAGAAAAGAGTGACAAATGTGGAAACAACACAAAAACTTCAGGAAACTCGTTTGTTACAACTTCAAATGGAAAAAGCTAGCATGACTCTCAGATTTCAGGGCGTGCCTGAAATTGAAAAAGAAGATTTAAAGAAGACTCTGGGAGAGATCATCGCTCCAGTAACAGGTATATCAGCGGATGAAATAGTAAAAGACATGGAGGCTGCCTATCGAGCATACTCCAATTATATCAGAAAAAATAACCTGCCTGGAGAGATTGTGGTGAGATTCGCAAGAAGACAGACCAGAGATGCGATATTAAAGGCAACTTCGGCAAATCCACTGAAAATTGGGAATACAATCATAAAGACTTTAAAGGATATTCCATTTGAAGTCCGTCAAAAGAGGAAAGGCTACAAGGAATTGATCTCATTTCTTCAAACTAATGGAATTCAGTATAGGTGGGCGATTCCTGAACATGTAATTTTTAAAGTCAACAATAAAAGAAAGAAGATTGACTCCATCTTTAAAGCTAAGGAATTTTTGAGACGTCAGCTTGGACCAGAAGAAGAACTTAAAGATGAAGAATCCAAGTCAAGTGACTCTGCTACTTCGGGAACAGACGAGGACTCTGTGGGGGAAGTGGGTGCAAGAGCGGGAGCAACAAAAACTGTGTATGACTTTAGGGATAGAAAACCGAAGTAAGGGCAGAAGGACTCTGTAAATTGCTCTTTGCAGTAAAGAAGATGCTCAAGATGTACTCTAACAAAGATTCACTTACTAATATAGAAGATGTGTTAAACAAGAACTTCACAAGTATATTGTATCACTAACACTTCTTTTACTAACATTTAGATTAACATGGGGCAGAAGGACTCTGTAAATTGCTCTTTGCAGTAAAGAAGATGCTCAAGATGTACTCTAACAAAGATTCACTTACTAATATAGAAGATGTGTTAAACAAGAACTTCACAAGTATATTGTATCACTAACACTTCTTTTACTAACATTTAGATTAACATGGAAAGGATCTCCTACTTTTGGGATTTTAGTTAGTGTGGGTATCTTTTCTTTATCCTTAGATGTAGTCCCCCTTCCTTTATTTTTAGTTGTAGTTAATAGTCTTATGAAAAAATAATAAAAGTACCCTCTTGGGGGTTTCAAAAAAATTATTATGTACTTCAAGAGAGAAACTTATTAATAAAATGTATGGTATGGTGATGCAATTGAAAATGCAAGATGAAATAGTTAAAGAATGTATGGTCAAATGGATGCAAAATGTAGGTTACAATATAGATTTGTTACAATGGAGTAAAATATGGAAAGTGAATATTAAGTTGACTAAATCTGTTTCATTTAAAGAAAATTTATATAAAATGTTTTATAGATGGCATCTAACCCCAGATAGGTTAGCCAAAATGTATAAAAACTTGAGTAACAAATGTTGGAAATGTAACAATCATGTTGGATCATAGTATCATATGTGGTGGACATGTAAAAAGGTTACCAGATGACTTAGATAAGAACCATAGGTACTTTATTTTACATGTTCTAACAGCAGCCAGAATTTTATTTGCAATGGCATGGAGGACATTGAAAATCCCAACGCTTTACGAGTTAATAACGAAGATTATGGATTGTGCCGAAATGGACAGATTGACAAATATATTAAAAGGAGAAATGGAAGAAGAATTTATGGGACCATGGAGAGCGTTTTATGACTGGTTAAGACACAAGTTCTGAGAAACTAAGATTAAATGAAGAACAATAAGAATGATGGTTATAATAGCTGTGAAGCTTTCATGAGAAGATTTGCATGCAGAATGGACTTTTAAAATTATATTTCTGTATCTTTTCTTTTCCCTTCTTTTCCCTCTCCCTCTTTCTATGTATAAACTAATAAAATTCTTTTTTAAAAAAAGAAAAAGAAAATATTTAAATAGGCTTTCATGGTGCAATCCTAAATATAGATATACCCTTCAAAGTCCACTGAAGTTACTGGGCTTCAAAGGTTGTGACTCTGCTTAGGACTGCACTGTTAACCTATGTTTTCAGTACATAATTATCTTGACTGATAGCTGTCAGGAACAATGCCAAAATCTCATGTAAATTTATGCAATTATGTCTAGTAGTTTGTTTCTAAAAGGGAAAGTGCATGGCTCAGACTACCTCGTGCTCATATGGAAGTCTGCCTCAGGTTTCTCAAACTATATAATGGTTTTTCAGTAGTAAAGGAAATACGCTTTACTCCCCAATCATTTTATATTATCCGCCAAAGAATATGGGATATTGAAAGCCAGACTATTGAAGCGGGAATTAACCCAATATGTTCCCCTCATTACTTCGGTTTGGAGACTACCCTGGGTCAATGAACCTCTTATATGCAATTGCTTACTAAGCCCTTACACCACCGGGCTTTCATGTTAGCCAGACTGAATACTTTTCCTTCAGCCGTCCTTTCGAGCAGGTATCAGAAAATCCCTTTTGAGAACAGACTATGAAATCACTGTTCATTAGAACCTGATTCAGTTTCTCATATCTTAATTTATTGCCCGAAGTTCCACAAATTTCGTAAACAACTTCTTGGCCCAGTTATTCCTAATTAACCTGGTCCTTTTGAGGGAAGTACTCAATATCTATTGGTGGATAAATATCCTAAAATGACAAAAATGGTGGCAGAATATTTGGCTAACGTCCTGTTGGTAACTACCCCACTCAATCAAAGCCAGGGAACTCTTGATTGAGATTGTTTGAGATATTATGTCTGATGATACTGTTTTAACTTTAAAACGTTTTTTCTCTTATGTCTAAAATTATTGTTGGTACCAATGTTCCCTCTAAGCTGTGGAGTCTTGTGAGCAAAACTTCTACTTTGTGAGCTACTGGCATTAAAGTTGTGAGCGAGCAATTTGGCTACTGCATAAATTAGTTTCCTCTGGAGCCATCCTTCCTGAGCTAAGACAAAAATCTGTGAGTTAGAGGCTAAAAAACTGTGAGCTAACTCCCACTAACTCAGTTTAGAGGGAGGTTGGAACCTACTTTTATTCACTGTATTTTTCCTTATTTTATGCCATTAAAGGTTTCTGAACTGAATTATGTTATGCATATACTGCAGGCCTGGACTTGGGTCATTAGCAAGTAAAGAAAAGAGTTTAAGACTTACTCAAGAACTGGCTCTCTAACATTTTGTACACTGTCATTCCCCCCACTTCCCAAGAGCTGCACACTGAACATTTCATTCTCCATCACCATGGCCCCAGTAAAGACACCTGACAGGTCCTGGAGAGCCAAACACTATGTATTTTGAGAGGATTAATGGATTAATACAACACCCCATCCTTTCCCTCTTCCGAAAAAAAGTCATGAACCTCATCAAGACTCTGCCCTGTGCTTATGGACACTGCTATTGTATTGAGACTAGCGCTGTTCCTCTTCCTCAAGCCCAATTCACATGTTCTCAAATGTTCTGTGCCTCCCAGGTTCCAGAGGAGGCCCAATTCATACTAGGACCACAACATGTGGGAGAGGGTGCAACATGTGGGAGAAGTAACAACAGCAAGAATTTTCTGGTATTTTAAAATTTATTATTATGTGCATTTATTATGTTCATTTGATTTGTAATAATTCGGCTTTTTTGTCTCCCTTTTTGACAATTCCAGAAAGCAACACCTGGCTCTAAAGAAAATCTTTTTTCGTATATTTATTTCTGGATGTGTGTTGTTTTACAATAGTAATACTGACCAGTGAGGAAGACCCCAAGGGGCCGAAATGCATATGGTCTATTGGTCATAAGATAAACTCATCAGTTGTATATGTAAAACTATCAGCTCTGTGTGGAAAAGGTTTTAAGAGTCTAATATTTGGATAATTTCTTTTAACCTATTTTATCTTTTACTAATGTGTACACCATAATAAATATTTGTATTTTTATAATAACTTATTTTGTTAGCTTGACCCTCATATATCACAGCCATATCTTTTTTTTTTTTGAGCCCCCGGAGGGGATTATCACAGCCATATCTTGAGTTGAGTCCTCCCCCTTTTTTTTCTTGTTTTTTTCCACAGAGAATACTTACATTTACAGTTGGGAACCTGTACTACCCGGGCAAACATCAGCTCCTCAGGACCATTTTGGATTTGGAAAACAGCCCAGGGGACGGGGAGACTGAAGCACCCTCTCCCCGTGTCCCTTGGTCCTAATCCAAACTGGGCCCCCACTAGCTTAGGAGTCATGGAACTCTAGAACATCTCTTTATAGAATGTGGACTGGCTCATCCCCTGGAGCCTCCCTCTCTTCCTCCTCCTCCTCCTGTACTTCTCATCCATATTCTCCACTTCCTCCTCACTCTCCTCTCACTACCCAAGTGACTTTCCCATTTTCCTTTTGTTTGTTTGCTCCTACCTCCACAGGTCATTCTGGCTACCAGGCCAATACAACAGCGAATCAGCCAGCCAGTGTCACACAGGGTTATTAGCAAGCATGTCTGATCCCGGCCAAGTCACTTAATCTTCCCCTCCAAAATCAAGGCCATATGACCAGGCAGACACCCATCTATCCCACTGCTCGTCAAGATGTATGTCCATTCCCACATACACTACATCATGAAGACTGAGCTGAGCAGAGGTTCTGCTCCTTGCCATGAATAGAATCCTTGATATGTGTACAGGCCCCCGGAAGTAAAAAAAGAAACATCCAAGGGCTGCTCACACACTTGCAAAAACAATTCATGTATTACAGCTACAAAGAACTCTTGCTTGCTGAAAAACAAAGCATAAACTCAATCAGTTGGTTTAGAACCTCAAAGAACAACTGAAACCAACACAAGCTTAAAAACTGACTTTGATGTAGCTAACATTTTATCTTTGAACATTCTGCTAGGTTGCCAAAGAAAGAGAATGTGCCATGGACTATATCCAGTGGATGGGTGGCTCTGTCTACATTTCAAACATCACATATCCCACATACATTCTGCACATACTCCCCTTGGCTGGTCTGGTATTGCCAGAAACTAATAAAAAGGCATCCAACAATCACTAGGCTACTTTGTTTTACAATGTCAAACTGTGCAAGACCTATTTGATATATTCTCATGGCCCAAAGTGCTTTTTAACACCCGTTGCTACAGGTCAGATTCCTGCCATGAGGAATCACACTAAAACAAATCAAGGCTAAGGTTGTTTTTCCCCCCTAACATATCTATCAAATTGTTGTAACTAAATATGAGCTGAAGGCATTCCACAACTGCACAAATCTGTCTAAAGCTATTTAAGTAGCTTGTGCTATTCAAGTTTGAGTTTGGAGTCACCTCCTAGGCCTTAATCTATCAAAGCTTCATTTAATCTCTCAAGTTTAAAAAAAAACCCTGAAAAGTCACTGGAAAAATTCAGAATACCTGAAACAACATCCTTAATACAATATTAATATGCTTTCTTCAAGCAATTTTTCTTTATTAAAAGGCAGGTTACCAGAATAAATGGCTACTTTGATAACGCTATACCTCTGAATTAATTCTGATTCATTCCTGAAAAATTATGACTACCCGAAGATGCAAACATTGCACAAGATCAATGGGCATATTACTGTTCTATGCCACTGTCTATTTCTCCTCAGTCTTGCATCATTTATGGGTCAGATTTACAAAGAAGTGTTTTCAGTCACGGGCCTCATTTATAAGCCAAATAAAACGACTAATTTTAGTGCAAGAAGGTTTTGGCAATTCCAAACAGGCTCATATAAGAATGCCTGATGATTCAGATGGCAGTGATATTTATGTGTTACCTTACCTTTGGACCGGGCAACCCTGGCAGTCCTGGATTTCCATGTGGGCCAGGAATACCCTGCAGGAAGTTAAAGAAGTATTACACAGTACATCATGAAGAAGGAAAAACACAACCCTTAGTAAAAACAATACATGAAGATTTGTCCTTGTATATCATTTACTCACAGAAAAGTCATTGATCACATTGTTTTTTTTCTAAAACCAATTCCCAAGTGAGTTCCTAATACATTAAATTATTTAGTGTTTTGGTTTATTTTTATTGAGCCCTTTGCTGATCCAAAGTAAATTATTAATTAAAGCAATCATCAATTAAAAGCCTATTTATTTATTTACCCAAGGATCCAAGGTGGCTAACATAACTGAATAAAGCAATTAAAACTACAGTAATCCAAACCAGAAATGTCAAAATAAAACTCATGTGTCTAAGAGCAGCAAACCAGTACTCAAAAGATTCATCTTCCTTTCTCCCCAAATGTTCAATTAAACAAAACTAACTTTCTTTTGAAAGGAAAAGAGGCAGGATGCCATGTGAACTTTATAGCTAACTAGGCCCTAAAATCCTTCAAACATCAGTGACCCACAGTCCCAACCTGCTAGATAAATGCCACGAATCCTTTCTCTGCATAATTCCAAACATGCTTTCCCAAATGCTACACGCAATAACCTGTTTCTATATGACAACCTCAAGGAAGCCTGGATATTTATGTTTTTATTTATTTACTTATTTGTAGACCACCTTTCTCACATGGCCTCAAGGGAGGTTAAACAAGGTGAGTCAGTACGATCAACAAAATGGGACATTCACTAACTAATACATTAGGATATTAAAAGTCTGGAACCACCCAAAAGAACTGAAGCATCGCCTAAGTATTCACATGAGACATAAAGCAGTGAAGAAATTAAATTATAGACTCAGTCTAAGCCATCCAGCTACAGCTTGTAATGCCAGGTCCAGATCTTCCGGCCCAGAGTCTGACGGGCCACCCAACAACAGATACAGCTGGGTGTCTTCAGTGTACTGGTAACAACACAGTCCATAGCTCCGAGCTATCTAGGCAAGAGGGTGCATATAGATGTTAAATAACATGGGGGATAGAACCACCCCTTGAGGAACTCCGCAAGTCAACGGGTGCCTTTGGGATAATTCTTCCCTAAGTGACACCCTTTGTCCCTGGCCCTGGAGAAAGGAGGCAAGCCATTGTAACGTGAACCCCTGGACTCTAGCATTGGCGAGGCGGTGGACCAGTAACGCTGCCAACAGGTCTAACAATAGCACCGCCATCCCACCTTGATACAGATGTCTTCGCCGATCGTCTGCGAGGGCAACCGGTACTGTCTCCATGTCATGGCCCAGACAAAAGGGACCTAATATGGAAGCGTCATCCAGAAAATTCTGTAACTGAGTTGCCACTGCCCTCCCAATTATCTTGCTCAAGTAGGGCAAGTTTGAAACCGGCTGGTAGTTAGGGTTGCCAAATTGGGATCGTCCGGGAGCGGGGGGCTCCTGGACGATCCCGGGTGTGTGTGTGCACGCATAGTGTGCGCGCGCATAGCGTGTGCGTGCGCAGCGTGCGCATCACCTGGAAGTGACGTCGCACGCTGGGGGCAGGGCCACGCGATTTGAGGGGAAAACAAAGAGTTTTCCCCTCAAATGGCTGCCACGCGGGGGTGGGGTTTCCCCCGGGCCCCGATTCCGGCGCGCCGGGAATCGGGGCTCCGAAACGGGGGATTACCCGCCCCCCGGCTGCATTTGGCAGCCCTACTGGTAGTTAACCAATTATGCCAGGTCCAAGGATGGTTTTTTAAGAGGGGGCAGAACACCACTTCCTTAAGAGCCCTCGGGAACGTTCCTTTGGAAAGGGACTTATTGACTATCTCCCGTAGGGGGCCTTGCAACTCATCATGGCTGTCTTTAATCAGCCATGATGGGCACAGGTCGAGGCAGCAGGTGGTAGGGTGTAAAATTATGATCTGTCAAGTTCCTCTAGGCTGAGCTGATTGAACCGATCCATAACCAGACTAGAAGACATGCATGGATCCTCAAGTTCATTCACTGTCTCAACTGTGGGGGGAAGGTCACAGTGGAGCAACAGGACTTTATCTGCAAAAATCTCACAAGAGCCTCACAGACAATATCCAGTTCCCTAACGTTTGGGCTGCTCTGAGGCAAAGGAGTCAAGTTGGAGTATACGGAGAGAGACAGTCCCATAAATAAAAGAGATAAAGACAATGAAAAGTTTTATACGCAGAATGGACATAATATGCATGCTCCATCTAGCTCCTGCTAAGAGTTGAGCTGTGGCATTCTGGACCAGCAGGAGTTTCCAAATTGATTTTGAGAGGACACCAATGTATTACAGTAGTCTAGTCTCGATGTTACTGTGGTGCAGATCCAGGTGGCGAGGTCAGATATATCCAGGTATGGGGCCATTTTATGGGCTAGGTTGAGTTGGAAGAAAGCCTTTTTTTTGCAGCTGTATTAGCTTGCTTCTCCAGTAATAAAGCTGGATCCAATAATGACCTCAAGGCTTTTAACTGAGTCAACAAGGGTCAGTTTAACACCATTGAAAATGATGAGAACAATGTCCTTCAAGGCCTCTGCATACCCAACCAGCATTACCTCTGTCTTTTCAGGGTTTAATTTCAATTTGTTCACTTTTAACCACAGTGGCCAGGGAGCGATTCAGGACCTCTACCTCATCACCAGGAGATTTGGATAAGGATATACAGAACTGAGTATCATCAGCATGTTGATGAAAACCAACCCCCAATCTGTGAATGATTTGTCCCAAGGGCTTTACATAGAGATTGAAGAGCATGGGGGATGGAACCCCACACCAATGACAACTGGATTCCAATAGCAACCCTTTGAGTCTGATCCATGAAGAATGATTTCACCCAGTTCAACGCACATGTCTTGATACCTACTTCTGTCTCCAGGCACCTCAATAAGATGGTATGAATTAATGTATCAAAGGCTGTCAATAAATCCAGTAAGAGTAACAGAGAGTCTTGGCTTTGTCTACACTCAGACAGAGGTTATCAACTAAAGCTAAAAGAGCTTTCTCTGTCCCATAGCCTCACCTGAAGCCAGACTGAAAAGGGTCTAGAGCAGATGAGTTATCCAAAACTATTTGGAGTTGGTTCGCTACTAGTCTCTCAACCACTTTGCCCAGAATGGGTAGATCAGGCAATAATTCTGCACATCAATTTTCTGTAGGGATGATGTTTAAAGTAGCAGCCAAAGAACTACCTCTTTGAGGTAGACTGATGGCAGATGTATCCTTAATTGCAGAATGCTGACAGTAATTAACTGAGATCCTGACATTACGCTCCATCTGTCTCCTCTCAAGCATGGAGGTGACCTAATTATTTCTTTATTTTTATTTATTCAATTTATACCCCGCCATCTCCGCGAATGGGCACAGGGTGGCTTACAGCAGTGGCCCAATTGCCAATAAAACTGATAAAACAATATACATCATTTCATAATAAGTTAAAACATAAAAACATAAGGTGCTATTCAGTTCTACAGTTCATTGCTTACGATGGCATATTAAGATGTCTCCGACAACTAGATTCCAGCTCAGTGTCATTTCGAGTCGCTCGATGTAACGGGCCAGATGTTGGCACTGAGGGCCAGGCTCATTGATGGTAATGGTGGGGGCGGCTCCTAATTGAAGGCCCTGCAGAACTGCAAAAGATCCCGCAGGGCCCTGATCTCCTCCGGGAGCTCATTCCACCAGTAAGGAGCCACCACTGAGAAAGAACTGGCCCTCGTCACAGCGAGCCTGGCCTCTTTGGGGCCCGGCAGGGTCAGATGATTCTGTGTCCCAGACCTCAGTGCTCTCTGGGGTGTATGTGGGGAAAGGCAGTTTCTCAGTTATGTCGGACCCTGGCCATATAGGACTTTAAAGGTAAGCACCAGCACCTTGAAATAGATTCGGTATGCTATTGGCAGCCAGTGCAGGGCCTTCAACGCAGGCTGGATGTGCTCCTATCTAGGTAAGCCCATAAACAGCCGCAGCGTTCTGCACTAGCTACAGCCTCCAAATTTGCAACAAGAGCAGTCCCATGTAGAGAGCGTTGCAGTAGTCTAGTCTCAAGGCGACCGTCGCATGGATCACTGTGGCCAGGTCGTTGCGGTCGAGGAAGGGAACCAACTGTCTAATCAGCCAAAGATGGTAAAAGGCCGACTTGGCAGTGGCTGCTACCTGGGCCTCCATTGCTAAGGAGGGATCCAGGAGCACACCCAAGATCCTAACCTCCGGCGCTAGCACCAATGGTGTCCCACTGAAGGCCAGGAGTGGGGTCCCCACCCACGCACCACCCCGGCCCCCACACAGGACCTTCATCTTCGCCAGGTTCAATTTCAGCCGACTCAGCCTAAGCCAACCAGCAACAGCCTGTAACGCATGGTCCAGATCTCCAGGACTGGAGTTTGACCGGTCGCCCAGCATCAGATAGAGCTGGGTGTCATCAGTGTACTGATGGCACCTCAGCCCATAACTCCGGGCTATCTGGGCAAGGGGGCGCATACAGATGTTAAATAGCATCTGGAAAAGCACTGCCCCTTGAGGTACTCCGCACTCCAGCGGGTGTCTCCTGGACTGTTGCTCCCCAATTGCCACCCTTTCTACCCGACCTTGGAGAAAGGAAGCAAGCCACTGTAAGGCAAGCCCCTGTATTCCCATATCGGCGAGGCAGCAAAGCAGAAACTGATGGTCGACCATGTTGAACGCAGCCGACAGGTCCAACAACAGCACTGCCACACCACCTCGATCCAGATGCCTCCAAAGATCATCAGTCAGAGCAACCAGAGCTGTCTTCCATTCTCCAGTGGCCCAGGAGTGGGGCAGTCCTTGACTCCTTATCCTGGGACGTAAAAAAGTAGTGCTTCCCCCGGGTGGGTCACACAACTTTTGGTGCCTACAGGGTCTGAAGGAGCACTCTACTGTCAAATGCTGCTACTGCCGAGGCTAGTTTGCCAATCCTATAGTGCTTTGTCGCCTTAAGAGAACTAGTACTCAACCCTTTACTCGGACCCTGTTGGAGAAA